ATGCCAACGAATCGAATGACGATATTTCGACCTGAGATTTTATCCACGGGTGTGGAAGTGGATGCATGAGTGTTTGTCTCCTATACATCCGCACACGCACACCTACCCACACCCCACACCCATCCCACATCCACATCCAAGAGAGGTTTTAAAAAAAAACAGAAAAAGTTTCGTGCAAAATGTGCTATACAACTATTCATGACAATAAGTTTCAGTAAGTGAGCTTCTACAAAAGTCTTGCATCTCTTAAGAGCTTTTCTATCTGAAAGGGCTAATGAAATACAGAAAATTTCTCAAAAATCATCAAAGAACTGAAAATTCTTTTGTTTTTATGGTTTAACCCAAATGAATTGGATAATTATGATCCTCAGTATTTTTCGTTACTACTTCAAAACAGCTTGATATAGCGTGAATATAATTTTTCTGATACAGTCCGTCAAGTGCACTAAAAGTCAGAAAAAAAGATATTTAGTGACTACCGGTATGACTCATGATGTGATAAATCCTCTCTTAAATATCGTATGTATGTCTTACAGGTAGCGAAATCAAAATATTCATAACTATTGGTGATAACTCTAGGAACCCAAATCCTTTTAGAGTTTTTACTAGGATACTATGTCGTATCTACAGATCAAAATTCATCGAAATTGGAGGGTAACACCTGAGAAGGTTCACTCGTGAGCCAGACAGACATAGGGATGGGAAGTTACCGTTACCGTTCCCGGGTAACGGCAACGGGGCAGTTACCAGTTCCCGGGTAACTGGTAACTGTCCCATTACCAGTTCCCGAGTAACTGGTAACTGCCCCGTTACCAGTTACTCGGGAACTGATAACTTCTTCCGTAGCAACCGTTACCGTTCCCGGGTAAGGGTGTGGGAACGGTAACTTCCCACCCCTAGGCAGACATGAGCAATTCTTGGCCCGATATGCGTCAGGTTGGGCCATCAAAGTAAAGCGGCCCGATTTTGCAGGCCTGATCCACACACTCTGAGTTAAATTGAGTTATTGTGATCTGTGTGATTTAACTTTGATTTACAACTGATTTAAATCAGTTGTTAGTCCGGTGCACAAACTGCTTCCAATCCTGTGACACTTCTAGTGCACAGTTTTGCAAAGGATGTAAGTTCTCACCAGACACTCTTTTAGTTGTTTCTAAAGATTATAGATCTCTGGAAATGTGTTCATAGAGCTACTCAAAAAGACCATAGTTTGATTTTCATTGAAACTAGCATAAACAGTTCAAGCTATGCTTTTTATTTACAGCCAAATATATAGAAAATACGATTTACGATCAACCACTTCACCATATCCGACAATATCCTTCCAACTTTGAATTTCCTCTCTATAATACAACGAATTCTTCTTCTGCTGTTGAATTATATCCAATGCTTTTTTATAGTTTTCAAATACATCACCTTTAGTGAAATCAAGTAGATTCAATTGAGTAATACGAGGAAAATGTCTTTTTAAATTTCGGATAACACCAATCAATATCGTTAAATGTATGTCGTCACGGAAAAAATATGTTAATGTAAGACATTTAAGATTAGGAAAGAATTTTGAGTGCTTGACGAGATAGTCAATTAATTCACTGAAATGTAATGCTCCCAAATTTACTTGTATAACATTGTCTTTCAATGGAGGTGGAATCCGTGTATTGATGGGGCGTATCTCAAGAATAGTACATTTTAGTGCCTGCTGCCATGTAGCAGGTGATTCAGGATTATTATAGAGCTTAAGTTCACGTTTATTTTTTACAAGTTGGTCTGGTAGTTGAGTTTTTGACAGAGGAATAAACGTTTTGCTAGAATCTGAAGAGCAATTTACAGATGAAAAGTGTTCATCAAGTTCATTATTCGTGTAAATATAACATTGAAATATTTGAAGTTTCGTCATATTGCTTACTAAACTGTAAAACTTATTGAAATTAAAAGATTTGTCTTTCATATTGATACCAATCAGTGTTAAGATTTCAATTGATTTTGAAATAAAGATAAAAACATTTTAATCTTTTCTACACATGGCTGATCGCCTTGAAAATCAATTTCAAATTGCAATTGTAGTTTGTTTAATGTTTTTGGAATATTTAACAGATATATATCTTTGAAATCGAGATTATTAAAGTTTCTTTCCATTGATATTGTCAATTCTTCCAGATTTAATATCATTTTAAATATTTCTATTAATGGTTTTGTAGACTGTAATACAATTGTTAAATGTTTAATAAAGGGCATTGCTTGTGAAATACAGACAACATCATCAAAAGCAACAGTCTTTAATATTCTAAGTGTCTTTAAATTATGTGACGGTAATGCATCTGAAATAATCTTTAATATTTGTGCGCAAGGTGCAGAAATCGAAAGTTCCGATAAACTATTTATTACAAGTACCAATTTCAAACTTTGATTTATTCGGAAAGAATACATATTTAAAGTGACTGATTCCAAATTAGATAAGTGATGAAAACAAGATAAGAGCATATCGAAGACATAGTCAGGTCCTTCGAGTCTAAGAGATCGTACTATATGACCTTGTGCTGGAACTATATGTTTATTTAATAATTGAAAGTGTCCGTAGGAAATAAGCTCCTTGTTGACGTCAATATGATATAGATATGATTCGATTATTTGTTGAAAATGTCGATTAAGATTATTGAATCCATAGATAATGTCGAATCTATGTAGGTAACCGAAGATGAATAAAAGTAATTCATCTGGCAGAGATTCAGCAGATACCATTATTGAAAATGAAAATAACTATATGAAAGAAGAACAAGAAAAAAAGATTATAAAATAGTTACGCCTTCTTGTGCTTTAGATCATCCAGAAGCATGATCCAAAAGAAATTGAATTATACAGAGTTTTTTGAAAGATAAAATTCTAAAGAATTGTTTATGTCTTTTTAATACCACCAAAAAAAATTTCAAAAGTGTGATTTTTGGGTGTGGGTGTAGATCAAGTACAAACTAACACCACCACCCATACCCACACCCTCAGGTTTTTTTTTCTTTGCTTTTTTCAACATAGAATAATGACAACGGTATTGGCCGATTTACTTGGAGAAGTATTGCTTTAGTTTCAAAAAGATGATTAAAAAATTGTTGAAAATATCAACAGAACAACCCGATGGAAAGATTGTTGCACTCTAATTTTCGTGAGTTAGTGTTGTTTTTGATTTGAAAGACGTTCAAAAAAAAACTCAATTTGTAATTTCAGGTCTCATCGGTGGCCATATTGTCGAGAATTTACTTTGAAATTGGCTTGAATCTACAGGAATCTTTATCATGAAATCAATGCAAAATTCGAGATTGTTTTTTGTTTCTCGAGAGAAATGTCAAACTAAATTTGATGAAAGTTTCAAAGAGATGCCATGGAAATCAATACTATTTCAAGGTATCATTCTAAATCAATGAATGACTTTATATAGATGAAATCTTTCGTTTAAATCAAAAATGTTTAGAAGCACTTTACAAAAATTTCAAAGTTCATGACAGTCCATCTCTAATTGTTTTGTCATCATCCGATAAAATAATTACGCCAGACAGTTCTTTAGAATTTAATATTAAATCTGATCTGGTTCCATGTCTATGATCTCAAGAGAAATCTTTTTTTATTCATGTCAACGACAAATAGGGTGGGTATGGGTATGCACGAACAGAAAATGAAGACCCACACCCATATTCACATCCTTCTATAGTCACATACGACTTTTCTTCTGAGCAACCCAAAAGGAAAAGATAAACAAATTCTATATCGTACAATTGGAAAGTGCAAAGTTAAACTTTAAACAAATTTTATACAATAATCATCTGTCTTTTCATTTTTCATCATTAATTAATTCTAAATATTAACTTTTCTGTTTGCTGTTTTCTGCTTTGCAAAACAACAGTAACATCGTAATAATTTTCCAATCTTTGTCTGTAAAAATTGTTCCCAATATAATTTTGATGGATAAATATATATAAAGAATGTAAATATTTCTGGTATATGTACGAGAAAATTAAGTATAACATTTAGACGCATTCTAATCAATGTATTTGGACATTTTCTCAATATATGAAATATGATCACATGTGGCAATATACAAATAATAATTAGTAGTGGTGGTATAAAAAAATCCCGGTGATTATGTATTTGTTGTTTCCATGTTGACCATCTATGATTTGATGTTGTTGTTTGAGTATCATATTGAAGATCTATTTTATGTTTTATAATTCGAAATAACACCCAAAGAGTACAGAGAAGATGAACTAAACATGGACCAAGTAAATGTAACATTTCAACAACATTATCGAGTATTTGAATTGATAATGAAGGAGTAAATTCACATAATTCTAAACTTTTGAGAAGTGGATGTATGGCTGTGTGACGATAGAATATTCGATAGATGTGAGATATGTTCACAATGATAAACACAAATATAGAAACAATAAACGAATGTTGTCGAGAACTGAACATTTGTAACACGCCGGATTCAATTAATACTCGTTCAATAGCTACACAAGCACTTAACCATAGACATACAGATGCCATTGAAATAATTAAAACGGGTAAAAAATTACATGAAAAAAAATTATAAAAAGTCGATGATGTTGTATGATCAAAGTATAAAATATTAATTAAATCAATTTCAATACCAATCATAGTTACCAAACTCAAAATACAGTATAAAATTAAATAGATACCTAATGATGTTATCCGAATTTTTTTCGATAATATAAAGGTGCATAAACATAATAAATTATTGAAAATTGCTAATGAAACAGCAAAAGTAATTATTATACCATATACAAACTTCGTTATTTTAACAGAGTTCTCTGTCTTGTATATATCTATTAACATAATTCCCCTGATACACGTTAATAAATTTGAATTATTTTCACATAATTCTGCAATACTGTAATTTACGATCATGATTGTAACGTTCTCTGAGTATTACTCAATACACTATTAATTCACAATATGTCCACTAAAAAACACACGTATCTGATATTATAGGATAAGAAATAGAAAAAGTGAAATTATGTTTATTACTCGCCCGATCATTTGTCATATGCGATGATTTTTTGTGAGTCATGTTATTCATGCACTTCGTGTGTAAATTGATTTTTCTGCCTCTAATTACCTTTAATAATTTATTCTTGATCATAAATATGAAAATAAATAGGGTGTAGGTGTTAATGAGGTTCGTCTAATAATAAATTCGTTTCTTTTTCATGAAAAATAACTTTTAAGATTGGCATAATTGCTTTCTAACTTCAATAACTGTGAAGCAAGAATACAATGCTCTTTTGATGCTTGTCAAAATTAAAAATACTTATTATAATTATAATAAACTCTCGTCTCATTCTGAATCCGAAACAATCGATATCACCAAGGTGAGATTGATGCAACTGAACATATTCGTCAGTGTCCATGATACAAAGATGTAGACTTCTGGACGTACTATAAATCTATCTATCCAAAGGTGTGTACGCTCGGCAACACTTTTCCCCAAGCATTGAATGAGGTAAATGATGGACTATATACCGGTCGACTATTTTGAGGGTGTGGGATTCTTTAATATTTGTCAACCACTCTCATCTTCACTGACACCCTCCATGTTTTGAATGAAGGATTTTAGGGCGTTGAGAATATTATTAAATAAACGAAAAATGAATTATTTTCTCTTAAAATTTTCAGCTCACTCATTATCACAGATACAATATAATCTGGTTTCCGCTACTAAATAACGAGAAGATCTAAGCGTAATCAATCGATTCTTTGGTGTTTTTATATAGTACACGTAAGCAAAGAGATGTAGTAAAGTGCTTAATATAGTATAATACATATTGCTTTCACTATGTTACCTCGAACACGAAAAGCATTTCGACTTTGCACTCATTTTATTTTATTATTATTACTAAGATTAATGATTCAGTGTTTGTTTACTCAATAAGCAAAAGAAATCAAATATTTTTCATTTTATTTAGTCACATCTGCATTATAGATAAGAAAATATGAAAGACAAGATAAAATACATCCGAAAGCAAGTCTTAACAAAATTCTTATCATAATTACAGATGGTGATAACATTTCAGTGGAATAACAAACCCATTATGTAACTGATATTCATTTTTCATGTTTCAAATATATATTTAGATGTTGTTCTTTAGTATGCGTTTTAGTAAAATCTTTGGTTACCGTAGCAGTTTCAGATAAAAAATATCATTAAGAAATCCGATTGCAAAAACTCTATGACGGTATTATTTTACGATTTGAAAAATCAAAGATTATATCCAAAGTGATTAACCCATTCTATTACAGATTCAACGTTTCTTCTCCTTGACTATTTTAAATGCTAATTGTCAATTTTTTTTGTCTTAACATAAACTTTTTTTTCTAGACAATATCTTACAAAAGATAATGGTGGCAACTAATGACGAATATAAACAAACGGATGAAACATCTATCGACTCTAACCTGACATGTAACATCTGTACTTTACCACTCAATGATCCACGATGTACTCCTTGTGTAATCCAATTTTAATCAGATTTTTGGTCTCTAATCGATTTTAATTATCATGGTCGTAAAAGGCGTTTTTCTTGAGTTTTAATTTAGAAACTCAAGTTCTTGATCGCTTTTTCGGACTCCTCCGCTTCACAAATAGTAAGTACGATGCTAGGCCAACCTTTGACACAAACACTATACTTCAACATTTAATGCCAATCAATAACTTACTCATTTAGGAAAAATATCCCTAAATTAAGATAATATCGATTAATAAGTTTTAATCGATTAAAACCAATTTAAAAATTTCAATTAATTAAAACTGGTTAAAAATTATAAAATCTGATTAAATTGATTAAAAATCAGAAATCTGATTAAAATTGAATTAAAATCGTGCCATTTAATCGATTTTTTATCACGAAAAACCGATTAAAATCAGATTTTTTCGTCTTTTTTTTTCTATATGGATATAGACTATATAATTATATATTATTAGTAACAGATAATTGAACTGGATTTATACAAAGATTGAAAGAAAATACGTATGCAAAAAAGTGTAACATTAATGTTCAAATTTTCAAAGCTTATGCGTTTCACATAGATAATAACTGAGTTACACAGAAAATTAATATCTTTAATGCCTATCAAAGACTCTAATTCCCAAGTCCAGAAGTGCTGTTCCTGGTGTGTGTATTTAACCGAAGCTACTCACTACTATCGTCTGTTTCTATATTGATATTATTATCTTCTTCTATTTCGTCGAATTCTTCGTAACCCTTTGCATTCTTTCTATTAATTTACAGATCCTTCTAACAGAGGATCATCGTTAATAAGCATATCGCAGTATTTATAAGCATGTGCAATCATTTTTGTATTTCTTTTCGATTGTGATTACTGACAAAACTAAAAATACTATCCACGACTACCACTGCTGTTGTAAGAAACAGTATTCGTTTCTTTTGTAATTGAGCGAATAAAAATAATTGAACAAATTACTTTTGGCGGATGATAGCTGCTCTGTGTAGATACACAACAGATCTATAAAACTATAGTAAATGCTTAACAGTAAAATAAAAAAGATCAAGACGACATAAGAGACAGCTATACAAAAAGTGAACGATTATTAATATCTGTTAATAGGTGTGACTTCTTGGAATAGAGTTAATTGAAGCGGGTCGCAGCCTCTATATGACGATAACCATAATATTTAACAATATTTTTCATTGCATACAAAAAATACAGAAGAGTAAATGACACCAAAACTGGAAAAAATCACATTTTCAACCTGAATTTGAGACCAAAACACCATAGTTGTGAGCAAAAAAATTACTTTTTTTAGAACATAAAATGAATAAGAACGAACAAAAAAAATGAAATTTTTGAGTTTTTGATCCAAATTACCCTAGTTGACTCTAGTACCATTTCTTACGCAAATGACTCAGTCGTTCACACAATTGCATGTCCATTATCTATTCATAAGGAAGAATGATAAAGAAAATTGTAGTATTCCAAAGTGATAATGATTCATTTGACCTTTTCTTGAATCAACATTCAGCTTACTTGCACACTTCTATGCGATGAATTGTGTTGAAACCCTTAAAGTTTGACTTTGAAAAATCTTCTTGAATAAAGAATGACAGAAAAAGAACATCTTAGCTTTTAATTATTTTTGTTTTCAGGGAATACAGACTCAATTTGATTTATAGTCAAGGCTGATCTTTTTGTGAAGAATATTTTTAAACACTACGATGGAAGACAAATTTGTTGCTCTTGTTGGGTGAATTTGTTGTTTATTTAGTGTATTGAGGAGTGCGATTGAATGAAAACGAACGTCAATACATTTCTTTCGTCATGTGACGGTGTTCGTCAGTATCAACATATTACTTACTCATTATAGAATGGTAGTCGTACAAGAGAAAATGAAAATATGACTCGAGGAACGATATCGCAAGAGAACAGCATATGAACGATAGTATGATGCATGTCGTATTGGCGTTCTGTCTACCTTGTCAAACGAGAATGCTGCCGTTGTGTACATACTAAATAACATAGATTGAAAAAATACACACCATTTTCTTTCATCAACTCATACCCAGTGAGTTTGTAAACGGAAGATTTCTCATTAAACATTTATAATTGCAAACCATTAAAAAACGGTCAATGGAGCCGAATAAATTCGTTGAACAGTTGTGATTTCCACGGCGACTTACCGTTAACACAAATAATTAATCAGACCATTAAATGAATTCATTCCAGTATCATTAAAATGTATTCGCGATTTGTTGCTTAACCATTTAAACATTTATTTTCTCCCATACTAAACCGTTGTCTATGTAACTACTCATCTTTATTCTAAATCATCACTTCCTCAATTTCATTTTGATACTAATATATTCATCTTCATCTTGTCGTAAGAATTGAGATATGTCTACCAATTCTATCTTTTTTATGTTCTTAATCAGCTAGCTATCTCACTATCATTTTCGCATTAACCGAAGCAAATTATTTTAGAGTATTAACTAGCAGATATATAGTTCGAAGTACTACAGAGAAAACATTATAGTCAAGTACTATTTCTGATTTGAAATATATGTGCAATACTTCAAGCCGTATATCTGTCGGTTACTATCTCAAAATAATTCATTTTCTCAACGAGCAAATAATAATGACGCATCTAGTTGATTAAAAGAACATAAAATAGATTGAATTGGTAGACACAAACCAATTCTTACGACGAGATGAAAATAAATATATTAGAATCAATATGAAATCAAGGAAATGATGATTTAGAATAAAGGCAAGTAGTTACATAGAAAACGATTTAAGTGCGGAATCGAAAAAAGACAAAGGATTTTTCTGTAAACATAGAAAAATTCTTTGTGTCGTTGATAGGACAAAAATTATTGAATACATTCATTGAAAAATATAAAAACCTTAAATAAATCATAGCGAACTTAACGGGACAAATAATTAGAGGAATAGAAAATTCGCATATAAAAGAAAAATACTACTTTGTTTTTCTTTAGAACATAGTTTGATAAACCTGCAGATACGGATAACATTTTCACATTGTTTGAAAAAAAGAAAATTAAAAACTTCTATTCTCCAAAAAGAAATGAAAGAAAAATTCAGAAAAAAAATTCTACCCTTAC